GGTGATTTGATGCATATCTAGCTCATGGTGGCCTACCGACATGTATTATAAAATGCAACAATAATGGTACAGGAAGTTGGCATATTATAGGACACATATGAAGTAACAATAACCTAAACTTTTGGTGATTATTGGGAATGTGATAACGTAAGATACAAAAGTAATTACGCGAAAGTTATGTGTTGCAAATGGTATTTACTGGACGAAGCAAAGCGGTAAGATGTATGTGATAGCTGCAAATATGTAAATTAAATGGATAGGACACTGACTCTAAGGCAGCCTAAATGCATTCTGAAGTAAGCGAGAATTTGGTGTAGCACATGAGTTTCCCAAAAATTACCCGCCGCCATCAGGAAGAACACATGGTCACTTTTTAGCATTAATTTAAAACAACCTATAGAGAAACAGTCCGAAAGTGTTCCAGTAAACTTTGAAGACAAAAGGTTTATGAATGTGTCGTTTTCTTGTTCAGCAATCGCGAGGTTTTTAAACAGCATACATTTACTTCCATAAAAACACAATAGAATACAACGCTAGCTGACGTTTCGCCGGTATCGCCTTCTTCAGAGCCGCTTTTTCGTGAAACNTATGAATGTGTCGTTTTCTTGTTCAGCAATCGCGAGGTTTTTAAACAGCATACATTTACTTCCATAAAAACACAATAGAATACAACGCTAGCTGACGTTTCGCCGGTATCGCCTTCTTCAGAGCCGCTTTTTCGTGACTTCCAATGAGGAGGTTTAGAACAGCTGATTATAGTCGCATGTGGTTGACGACTTTTGACGAGAGTTTCACGAAAAAGCGGCTCTGAAGAAGGCGATACCGGCGAAACGTCAGCTAGCGTTGTATTCTATTGTGTTTTTATGGAAGTAAATGTATGCTGTTTAAAAACCTCGCGATTGCTGAACAAGAAAACGACACATTCATATTCCAATGCCGAGGTTAAGAGAAAGTCGATCCTGGGAACTATTACAAAAGGTTTAAGTTAAGGAGGCGTAGCAGAGAGAAAGCCTACCGATAAAGAAAAATAGGATGCATCGAAGCTCTCACGTAATGGAGACCAGTAGCCTAATCAGGAGCATATCAGTCTCAAAATTAGCAGAGACAAATAAAACAATATTATGCAATAACGAATACTCGCAGATAGAAATCGAGAGCGTTTCAAACAAAAATATATTCGACTAAGTCAGACTGGAACTACAATTAACCCACAGTATGTGTTATCTTAATAAGAAAAATTCGTTGATTAGTTGACTAGTCTTACAGTTCGCTCTCATGCAATTTTTGTTTATTAAAGCCTGGTTCTGCTCCTTCAGTGAATATGTTGGCGGTCGTCGTTATATTGCTCTTACATTTATATTTTATGGCCAATAAAAGAGATAAAGCCAACGCTGTAGTGAGTTTTCAGGTGAGTACTCACTTAATTCAATACGTGGATAGCTCGTCTCCACTAGTTATGTGGGCCAGAGCATAATTTACATTTACTGGTTTAGTCATTGTGGTTGCCTGGAGCCCCGACGTCAGCCTAGCCCAAGCCTTCCTCAGGTCGTCACCATCCCAGGCAGTCAGCGCGCTTGTAGAACAGAGGGAGATTTGCCACCACGCCACTAATTTGATACCGGAACGGTGGTGGATCCTAGTATTAGTTTACTCTTAGCTCGACTTCCGGATGGAAACATCGGACTGATCAGCTTGGGAGGGCTTTCTGGGTGACAGACCTCCGCTGTACATCGCAACCCGACACCCAGGAACATCTCCAGGCCACGATGAGACGACAAACAGTTGGAAGATTTTAGGTGAATAATAAGTAAAAACTGCAAGACTATTGGAATCACTTTTAGTTTCAGTTACCTTAAACTATTCGGTGATAGCGAAAATTAGCGCATAAAATGCTAAGGGCACAAGTAAGCGCCTAGTACTGTTCTAAAAGAAAAGAATAGGCAGAGAAATAATGAACCGAACAGACGAAAACGAAGTCGTAAAGAACTCAGAACATACGAAATGTCTATGATTTTAATGTCCGACGGTCGTAGCACTACACACACCTCATATTCAACAAATAATTTGCCTTTTGAAAAAGGAAACTTCTTTGCGAAATGGAAATGTTCCAAATTTCAGAAACTAGAAGATATCAAAACCGTTGAATGGCATCTAGAGGAGGAACTTATGAGAGAAGCGAAGAAGTACCAACGAAATCACTCAACAAAATCGACAGCAATAGAAGAAGTGGAGTTTTCCTTAGAGTGGTACACACCGTCCGATCGGTTACACCAGCACTTTTTCAGAAAAACGGACAAGTGGAAGTCAAAAAAGCGCGATCCTCAAGTGAGGGCAGGAAGGATTTCTCTAGAAAAGTAAGAGAGTTGTGAACAACGAACATGCCACATTTGTCTTTTTGTTCCTACATCTTTCGGGCTTGAATCTTCACTATTCTTCTCATTTACCAGAACATCCATACCAAAAAACATGTCCTAGTAGATTTCCTGATGAGCGAAGACGAGGTTGTTATCACAGCATTTATTCACTAAAAACAGCCGACATTCCGGCAGTTTCGGCTTCTTTAAAGTCCGTAAGAGTTAGATTGACACGTAGATCTCAGTCAAACTCTTTCATAACGTCAGCAGATCAGACTTCATATTTGTAAATTCCTATTTGCATAGTGAACAGCCTCTCTTAAACACTTACCGCTTTATTCTTTATAAGCTTTCTAGTTATTTAGTAAAACCAGCCGCACAGAGTTGTACATGTGTGAAAAATGGGCCAGTCCTATGTTCGTTGCCACGTGATACGCTTTTATGAAAGAAATAGACTACAGAAAACCCAACCAGGCTATAACTATGGTATCCAGAAGTAGCAAAAACAGAGAAGGAACCAGGGTAGCCTCTCTAGTCCTCTAGTGCGATGATGTCGATTTTTGAGGGTAGTGTTTTCCCTGTCATCCTATTAGGGTTCTTCATTTATTATGATTGATTCCCCATGGCAACTAGGAATTTGGTGACTGACCGTGATATGGTGAATCCGGCAAGTTTCTTAGTGAGTTGAAACCACACGGATAGTAAGTTCTGGTAGATTAGGTCAGTTTACTACTTACGTTGCACAAATTCAGAGTGATACAAGTAACTCAGACAAGGTAGGAAATCAAAGTGGTAGAAGAAAATGTTACGAAAAGGAAAGTCAACATTAACACTTTTAGGCTGGAAAAGCGAATAAGAAATAAGTACAGGATATGACGAAGAAGGCAATCATTACCCCGAGAACAATAATCATACATTGACTTTATCAGTCGTCCTTTCTGTTGTTTGCTTGAAAACAATCGGAGTTATTTTCTAAACCCTTTCCTCAGTTATAAACAGAGTTAATGAATGCTCTTAATGACGGCTTTTTGACAAGGTTTTTTTAAAATCAGGGAAAATGGTACTTTTTACTTGATACTTGATACTTGAACGACCCGTCCTCACTGGTTGTGCGGGCCCCAGCATAATCTCCATTTCTGGAAGATTTGCTGGTTAAGCCATTGTGGTTCCCTGAAATCCCGAGCTCAGCCCGGCCAAAGTCTGCCTCAGGTCTTCACCACCACAGGCAGTCGCATCTCTTGTGGATCACAGGGAGATTTGCCACCATGCGACTTTGATACCAGAACAGTGGTGGACACTGGTATTTGTTTACTCTTAGCTAGGCTTCCTGATGGAAACGCCGGACTCCTCAGCTTGGGTGACCCTGCCAGGGGGAAAAATCCCCCCACTGTACATCGCAATCCGACACCGAGGAACACCTCATAGCTCCGATGAGGCGGTAAACCGTTAGAAGGAATGGTACTTTTCGTTATCAAAAGTCGACGATCACAATTACACCACAGATGTGAAAATGGAGCGTGTAGACAGTGGATAGATGTACCCTGCAATGCACATGGGTTCGAATCCGTGCTGCAAGCTCACGAAGCTGTGTCGGTAAGTCGGTACCAGAAACGTTTGGAAAGGTAGCAGCACTGACTTAATATAGCGGTAGTCCACAGCGAGTCCACTGTAAAAGCAAGATACGCATTTATTCACCTCTAATGTTGCTTGATGAAACCGAACGCATGGCACATCCTTCAGGGAATGATCAACGCCGAGAGCTTTGTGGATATGAAGAAAATGGAGCAGAACAGTGGACATGAAAACTGAATTAGTAATGGAAAGAAACAATATGATTCGAGCGCGAGTCGGAAATGCCAGCAACTGCCTATACGGGCCGCGTCTAAAAAAGATATCCACTTCTAAAGTAGTTTGTTGATGACATGGAAGACGTCTGAAACACACTAACTGCGCGGTAAAGTTCAGGTTTTTCTTACCTTCGGATACAGCAGCTAAATTGTCACACACATTCCCAAAATCCTTATTTTTTTCTAAAACACTGTGATTGAAGTGTATTATAATTATAGTATCACCATCAATAATATCACCTCCTTCCTAACGGTTTACCGCCTCATCATGGCTGTGAGGTGTTCCTGGGTGTCGAGCCGCGATGTATAGCAGAGGATTCATCCCCCAGCAGGGTCTCCGAAGCTTAGGGTCAACCATCGTCCTGGTATCAAACTAGTCGCATGGTGGCAATTCTCCCTTTGATCCACAAGGGAGGCGACTGCCTGTAGTGGTGACGACCTGGTACAAACTTTGGCTGGGGTGACCCCAGGGCTACAGTGAACCACAATAGTTAAATCAGCAAAACCCCGAAAAATGAGGATTATGCTGGGCCCGCTCAACTGGTCATCCAAGTATCCAAGTAAGTAGTAACACCATCTGCATCGCTATAACTTGTAACGACCTGTCACCAGCACGCAGATATCGGCAGTAATCTTCAAGAAAAAAATCAATACCGAAATGAGCTCAGACAGTCACCGACGCCTATCCACTTCGCCACAAGCTCCGCCTATCACCGATTTATGAAATTTAGACCACGCCCACTCTTCCTTGTGTATAAAGGGATGTTGGGCTTCATTGGTGCAATTCTGTTCGGCGTTAATGGCAGGTCCTGAATACCCAGCTGGAAGTGTTCGTGTGGAATTTTTCCGAGAGGATCGTTGCACCTTCATCCACCAAACTCCGGATGAGCTATATCGACTATTCATGATAAAGGTGAATAGGATAGGTGGACCGAATGCAGTAGCGTATTACACTAACCGTGAAAGAATCGAAGTCAGGATCGATGATGCTGAGACGTTGGATCGCTTTACTGAAGGAAGAGCCGTTGTAAGAATCACGGTTCACGCAAGGAGCGGTGGAAGCAGTCCACACTCGAATGGCGGTGTATCGGGCCGTCGTAGGAACAGCGCCGACCGCGACGCCCTCCGTCGCCGTCACCACCACAACGGCCGATCAACTGCGACAGAGGAGAGGCCGTGTGTGTTCTGTGGGCATGTTCGCCGCATAGATAGTCAAGATCCTCCGTCCATGAGACCTCGATCTGCGCAATACCAGGCGAGTGACGAGGCCAGCCGTAGGCGTGTGCGCTGGCGCTTTATCCCTGTTCCTTATGTTGAATATGTGAATGAATCGAACCCACCTAATGCAGATCGCTAAGTGGTCTGTTTGTAGCTTTGTATGAGTGTTAATTGTTTGATACTGATCTTGGTTAATAAAATTTGTTGCAATCTGTATTTGTCTTCTAGAAGCAAAGAGGAACAAGCACTGATTTTATAGTGGTTAAAAGACTTGTTAGAATAGAGACAGTAGCCCGGTCTGGCGTAGAAGTAAGGAAGAGCGTCTCAATAAAATAGAGATGAAAACAACAGGATTTCAGAAATTGGTCTCCCAGGCTGTATGTTCTCTCAGATATTCTGAGGAGTGGTCACTGAGCCAATCAGTAGATTAACTTAGTCTATTTGTCTAAATGTTGGGATAGATGTAATTGATCGTGATTTCGTAACCTTCAAGAGCAGCTTAACCAACCGAGTTTACCACTAGTTGGCCATCATATTAACAGTTTACTCGTTTTTCAGCTCGAAACAGCCGACCCTGTCGTGGGATTCTCCAGCCGCACCGGAACGGCGACAGGAAGCTGACGCGGTTCGCCTTGGTGTTATTAACGAGTGCTTCCAGTTTGTCATCGTCTAAGATCGAGCTCCAGACGTTGATGCTATTTGCCGAGTTCACTCTCCAAGTGAATGGAAATCAGCACGAAGTCCTAGTAAAAGTCACGATCACTGTTGAGAGAAGAAAAACGATGGAGAAATTCGGAAACCGCGACGATGTGTTGGTAAAGCACGCATCCATGTTCTGTACAGAATGTTATAGAGAAACACTGGATTTCTTGGTTTACTCTCTCACCAATGAGAGACATGGTGTTGAGTGTTAAGCGATTGCCTATTAGGTTTCGGTTCTTCGAAGGATATAATTTGTCTGGTCATTGATGTCATCCTCTCATTACGCCATACTACAAACATTACCACCTCAGAAATGCGTTCAATATGTCATTAATATTCATCTAGTAACTGAAGTTCTCTATCGTGACTTCTTCGCACCGCCTTGCAGACTCGGACATAAGTTCGTAGTTCTCTCCAAGGCTACTGAATGTAACTCTCAAAAGGTACATTGATACTTTTAAATATAGCAAATCAGAAAAGGCGTCTACTACGTTGCGTTCGCTGCAATTACGGTAGGGCTGAATAGGTCACACGGCTATTTTTATCGTCGGCCATTTCCATGTACAAGTGTGAAGCTGCTGGACATTCTTTCCTTCTTTCTTTCTTTTTTTGATTGCCTTTATCCATATCGTTCACCTCTACACCTCTGTCTTTCCTTTCCTTTCACTCCTTTCCACGTCTACGCCAGTAGTGACTTTTGAAGCTGTTTTAGCTTTTTTGCTTCGGTTTTATTTGTTTACCTCTTAAGTTTGTCTTTCAGTATTCATTTCCTTTCTAACGTATTCATTCTTTTGATTCTAACCTGAGCCTTAAAATACGTTTTTAGAGAGTAATGAAGTTGTTGCTGTGATGCTAAATACTTGTGAAGATTCCACATTATTCACAGGAAAATTGTCGAAAAAGAAGCGTCCCAAGTAAGTGATTTATAAACAGATGTAATGTTTGAGAAGAGTAGTCAGTTTAGACGAAAGCGAGGGCAGCAGTGGGTATTTTATATGGAGTCCTTCAAGAAAGCAGTCGATTATCTGTATGAAATATGCCGTTCGGACCACAATATAAGCGCTTGTAAAGTTGGTGTTTTTCGTTGAGTTTATTTTCTGTTGTGAAGTCCTTGTGTTCTGTTTATGTTTTGGATTTAACACATTAAAAGCGATATGGACCATGAGGAGAGCGTGCAGCGCAGTGGTCGGAGGCGCCCTTCACTTCACATGGGATCGATCCACGCGCCACTGGCCTACCAAGCTCTCCAGCCCCTGGGGTCAGAAAATTGGTACCAAATTTGTTTCGGAGGATAGCAGCACTGGCTCGATACATCGTTAGGTCACCACGAGTTATTGTAAAGGCCAGATATGGATTCAATCACCTCCAATGATGCTTAATGAAGTCGAATACATGACGCAGCCAACAAGAATTGATCAACGCCGAGGACTTCGTTCTTTTTAATTCCGTTGCTGAATTATTGAATTTATGTGCTATTGCACTGTCTTACTTATTTATTGCTTCTTTATGACAGGCAAATAAACTTGTAAGGTGAAGTGGAGGGAGTTTTTTGATACATTCATTATCGTCATTATGAAGCTATCTGTTGTTGTTTTTTTAGGAGGCAATTATATACCTTGAGAATTCAAAGCGGGATTTTGAATCACTGATAAATACTATCAATGTTGAAACGTCTTGGGATGAGTCAAGCAAGTACGCATTGGAACTATTTCACATTTTTCTTTTGAAATTTTCAAAATGCCATCCCTTCTTTTAGACCTCAAGCTGTCTCATGGGAGATTCGAAAGTCAAGTCATACCCCAGTTCACGTCACACCGACCTCGTTAGTTCTGTTTTTGCTGCGGGTTCCAAAACGACATTTTTTGCTCAGTAAACCAAAAACCAGTTCGTAAATTTATACTTAGGGACAACATTTTGCTGCAAGATAAAGGGACGGATGTTCGCTGCGAGGAAGATGAAGATTTTAAGGAAGCTTTGCAACGTAGGTGCACTTCTGTGTTTTCCACTTCACATTTCATCGTTTAAGTAGGAGCGCCCGTGTTTACTTCTTTTTCTGTTTAGAGGATGGGTGGCAGTTAGTTTTACCTCGTCGAAGGAAAAGTACAAGTTCTTCGAGTGAAGTTGCTGCACCACAGAACTTGACGACAACGACGCTTCAACAAGAGCAAGCGAATGAAGCCGAGGTGTTCACAGTAACTACCCTATTAAATTTTTTCCTATTGTTTGTTAAGGATTCAAGAATTACTTTTTAAGCGTACTCGTCTAAGCGTATATGACCGACTTTCTGCTCCGAGACGTACCAATTCACCATCAGTTTCTAGCGTTATAGCAGCGTCTCGTTGTAACACAAATCGTTCTTCTATTGGCCTACAGCAGGCTCGTCTTACGTCTCCTCGAAGTGCCATGGATCTTCCTCAAACTAAGGTCATTATTTATTCGTTTTATGTTTTTTTTTCTAAATGTTTTTTCGATTTTCGATGATTCAACGATGATTGTTTCTTCGATCATTTTCCACTTGCTCATGGTGAAAAGATGTGAAGTGAATACCGGACCACAATGAACAGCTTTGGTTTCGTCGGCTATTTATGCTTGAAGGAAATCGATATCGGGATTGATACCAAGTCTCGAGACAATCCAATAAATAATGGCCGATGGCGATATGGAAAACTCTAGCACGCTTGGGACTCCAAGGAGAAATTCTTGCAAAATTTGTAAAATGGCCATAATGATGCTGAGATATTTGCAAAACTTGGACCCTAGGTCAGATCGAACTGCGATCACTCTTTATGGGCGTTAGCCCATAAAGCGTTACGCACGACACTACTGAGACCCTCGTATACCTTTCTCTCAGCCAGTCTTACTGGAACGGAGCCATCGGAGATGTAAAATAGCGTTCAAATAGAGGTTTTCTTTTGCCTCGCTTGCTTCGTTGGGTCATTCATGTAGGATTCAACTAGTTAAAATGTTGTGTTTTAGGCATCAATGGCTAAGATGGCATATAGTCGGCAGTTGCTTTGGGAACGTAATCAATCTTTGCTGGCAGAAAAACTTCGAGCAAAGCAACGGATGGAGCGAATCGACCAGTATAAGAGACGTAGTGGGCCCACTCGTTGTGGCATTCACTTTGCAACTGGACCAGTATCCCAGAATAATAGCAGTACTCTTCGAGAGGTACACTTTGTAAAATTAGTTTAGAATTTCGTAGCGATGTAAATTTAAGCTTTAAGCGGCTGCAGTGCAGTAGCGCTCCTGCTAGTGAAAGTAACCTATCTGTGGATAGATCTCTGCAATCAATTAATGAGGCTGGAGAGGGCGAAGACGTTGAAACCGTTCCAGCTGATCCTATGCCAACTCATAATTCGTCACATGATAACGTCCGTTTCTCTTCAACAAGGTAAATGCTCCTTAACTTTACCTGAAAGTGTTCTTGCTAGATCTACTTTTATTTACTGTGCCAGCAGGTCTGAACCAGTTTTTGGTGAGGTGTCCTCACTACTTGGTCTCGATGATGATGCCGAGTGGAGGGAAATGACGGAAGAAGAAGAATCGTTGGCGTTAGAGGAACACAGTCTGAATCTTGAGATTGAGCATGTGTGCTGAGTTTGTGTAGTTATGGATTCCTTTCGTGTGCTTTCCTGCAATCATTGTTTAAAGGAGGAATCATTCTCTATCGACATTGAATTGGAACGACAAGTTGCTGCGGAAGCTGAAGCACTCGAAAAATTCGAGCTTTCAAAAAGCGCCGCGCTCACAGCATGTCAGGTCAAAGAATTTTCAAACTTACATGATGTAAAATGTGAAAATAGTCTTATATACTTATAATCCTAGAATTTTCAGAATAGGGAAGTTCAAGACAGTGGATCCATCGTCACTGGAGCAATACAACAGAGTGGAGCAAGTGGTATATTTGTTATTCATGCATGCATACTCTTTTGGAAACATGTGTACATATATATATATATATATACATATATATACTTGTTTATATATACACATATGGCGCGTGTGGCGCGTTGGTCGGAGGCGCCCTGTAACGCAAACGTGGAATCGATCCCCGCGCCCATAGCCACCAATCCTTCGATCCCTCCGGGGTGGGCAAATTGGTACCGGGCTTGTCTTGGAGGATAGCAGCACCAGCTCGATACATCGGCAGGCCACTGTGAGTCATTGCAAAGGCCCGATATGCATTCAGTCACCTACAAACGATGCTTAATGAAGTCGAATTCATGGCGCACTCCTTAGGGATTGGTCAACGCCGAGTGTTTTATCCTTTATCCTATACACATATATAATACATATATATATGCCATAACTTTGGAAGCCGACTTTCAGTTACTTATCGAACAACTCTTCCTATATCTAAAAACAACAAAACAAATAAAAACCTCTTAAACAATTCATTCATGAGCTTACGAAGGGTTGTTATACAGCTTCTATTCGGCTAAGGTTCTGACGATTTCGTCTTCATCAGGGCTGGATTAATCCGAGCAAATCGGGAACCTTCTTTTCTCCTGTATAAGGTTGTAACATACGAAATGTCCGGTTTTAAATGTGTTTTCTAAAAATAACCATGACTTTTTTCGTACTAATCTTTATTAATCGAAATAAGCACCATTAGAATCAGCACACTTTTTTTTCCGACAAGAAAGAAATTTATTTACTTCAATTGCTTGGAATTCTGGAGTTCTGGAAGCGATGGATCTGTTGAAAGCATTTTTTGCGTCATCGTGGTTAGTGAACATTTCTCGCCGGGGAAGTTGTCAAGTGCTTCAAGAAGTGGTAATCGGTAGGCGAGAGGTCTGGTGAATATTGCGGATGAGACAAAGTTTCGTAGTTTCGTTGCACGGAGAGTTAAAACAATAAAATCGGACATTCCATATGTACCAACCTAATAAAAGGACACTGCCGAGTGAGGTAACTTCATTTAAGCGTTGCTCCACTCAAGAAGATCCGACTCGATACGATAGCGAAGACCGAAAACACGAGGACGAACGATTATGCACAATCGGTGTGAGTAAATCCGGTTCTGAAGAAGAAATCGAAACGTCAACTGAATAAAAGTCGTATAACAACCTCATGCAAGCTCATGAATAGAACAAACTGTTACATGTCACCTGTCGTCCCTTTTCGTTAAGTGACTAGAGCGGTCGCCAGTACACCTTTTATTTCTTTATGTTGCTTGCAAGAGTAGCCCAGTGCGTTTTGTTCACTCGAGGAGCTCGTCAAGCATCATACTTTTGTTCTAGGTTTTTCTTGATAAACTCTGACCGTCGTGCTAGTGTTCTCCCTGCACTACATATGACATTCCGAAAAGTCTATGTATATATAGACAATAGGAAATCTTTTCTCAATAACTAGAGTGTTTTCGTGGTTCAGAATCTAACAGAATTTTAGAAGAGACTCTGTTCTATCGTTCTAGGTATGATTGATATCATCGTTTCACTAACGGCTTTTGTCCATCCGTTGTTCTTAAGCATTAGTACTGCTACCCACCTTATCTTCGACAGTTTTGTGTATCGAACGGGGCCTTTGATTTTTGATTGCTAACGTAGATAGGAGCTTCGTATCCGTTCTCTCATTTATGTGACACAGGATACTCCTAGCATCGGCCTTTCAACTGCACGCTATAATACGCTGAGTGACACTTTCATCCTACTTTCGCAACGCCCAGGTTTCTAACGCATATATTAGGGCAGGAAGAATCGTAGAGTCGAAAACGTGTGTTTAGAGTCGGGTGTCTACTCCGAGCGAGAGTGGCAAGTTATCCATGGCTATAGCCATTGCACACGTTTAGAGCCTAGAGATACATGAGGATATGAAAAGCTCAGCACAATAAACTATATATATATATATATACATATACATGTATGTATACATGCATACAAACATGCATACATGTATACATATGTACGCGTGTTATATACATACACATATATATACTTGTTTAGTTAATTACTTGGATATATGGCTGGCCAATTTTCACTGGTTGTGCGGGTTCTGCCACAATTTTAATTTTCCGGAGATTTGCTGGCCCAGCCACTGTGGTTCCCTGGAGTGCCAAGGTCGACCTGGTCGAAGCGTTTCCCAGGTAGCTACCACTCCAAGCTGTTGCGGCTCTCCTGGATCAGAAGGAGATTCGCTACCATACGACTACTTTGATGCCAAGACACTGTTGATTCCTAATACTGATTTACTCTTAGCTGGGCTTCCGGATGGAAACATCGGATTCCTCAGTTTGGGAGAGCCTGCTGGGTTATGAACCCTCCGCTGTACAACTCAACTTGACACCTAGGGTCACCTCCCACCCACGATGAGACGGTAAACCGTTGGGACGTTGGATTTTGGAGATACATGTACATATATATGTATATATAGACAATAGGAAATATTTCCTCAATAACTAGAGTGTTTTCGTGGTTCAGAATCTAACAGAATTTTAGAAGAGACTCTGTTCTATCGTTCTATAGGTATGATTGATACCAACACTTGGAAGTATTTTGCACTCTATATTGAGTCGATTTTGGTGCTTTTAAATATGTGCATTCCATACAATAGCCCTAATGATTAGAGTGAAAGAACAGTTCCTTGCTAGTCAAATTATAGGTGGATGAACTTATTCGAAGGTTTTGCAAGTCATTAAGCGTAGGAAATGTCTTCTACTAAAGTCGCACCTCCTACTTTCATCAGTTTTCATTTTGCTAGTGGATGAATATACGTAGTGTGGTTTAAAAAAAAAGAAAAAAAAACTCCAGCCCACTAAACTGAGCGTGTGCACCGTAGTGTCCGTACGGTCGTTTAGTGCAAACCACTGTGGACATTATAGCGTCCATACGGAGGCGTTATGAGTTAAGAACGGTATGTCCCGTATTCACGCGTTTCACCGGAAATCATCTAGGTAAAAACTGTGGAAGAGTCGTTCGAACGTGGAGTGAAGTAGTGGGTAAGGATCTAGTGGCTGCTTACCGTGAACCAGGAACTGCAGCTGAACGACATGAAAAAATGAGCAGCCCGAGTAGGAGAAGGTATAGGACTTGCTGAGGTAGATTGTAGCAACTTTAGTTTTATTTTTCTACAGGTGCGACAGAAATGACGCTGATTTTTCTTCACGACATGCAGAAAAACTGCGAAGAGCATCTGAGTTACGTGCCCAACTTCAGGCCGAAAAGACCGCACGCTTACGAGAGCTAACACGCAGAGTACTGTTTCAAAGCTTTAAATTCTTGGAAGCATCCTTGGGGTTTCTGTCAAATTTTGAAATATTTATACAACTTTTTCCTCTTTAGGTAGAAGAGGTACGTGAAAAGCGACAGAACATTATTGAGAGGAAAAGGCAGTTGTTGGAAAGCCGCATGGAAAGAGCTCAAGAAAATCGAGAGAAGAACATCACAGAGATAATTCGGCGTGCTAAAGATGATGAGCAAAGGGTAAGCATTGTACTTCTGAGTTATTTGCTTTCAGAAACTGTGCTTTTTGGCTCCCGATCTACGCATTGATAGTAAATGTGTAGTCGTTAGTTGATGTATAAAATAGCTTTGTTTTAAATCACTTTTTCTACCTTTCGATGATTTTGTGTTCAGTTTTAGCTTTTTCAGGTACTAGAAGTCCAATTCATAAACTCCCTCCAAGGTGGTAACATGCTGCTTGATTTAAAAATGAGGGATGCTGGAGTAGAAGAGCGAAAGCAAACAATTGCGGAAGAAAGGGCCAGAAGAATAGAAGAGAAGGCTGCTAAAGAACATGCAGCCGAAGAGAGACGTAAATTTGCAGAGCTGGTAAGTGAGTAATTTATTGATGGCACAGATTTTTTCTTGAGCTGAAGCAATGTCTTCACCAGGAACGAATAGCCCGTCTTCAAGAGATTGCGGAAAAAAAGGAGGCACGTCATGCTCAACTTACTGCACAAAAGAACGAACAGGAAAGGCTTCGAAGTGAAAAACGGAAACAGCAACAAGAGAAGCTTACGGAACATCGGCTCGCTGACGCTGAAGAGAATGAATCTTTGAGAAAGCGGATTCAGGAAAAAGTTGCTGTTCTGGTTTTGTTACTTCTACTCCAGTCGCTGGCAGTGGTTCATTTAACTTCAGATTGAATTGTCTTCTCGTCGGCACGAGCAGACATTAGAGGAAGTGCGAGTGCGGGCACAGGAGCTTTCATCTCCTCGTCCCCCATCAAGCTGTAGGTGGTCGTGGTCATTTGTGGATCCTAATCATTGGCCATCGGATGTCTGTGGAATTAATTTTAAATGCAGCACTTGTTGTTGTGAGGTAAGATGTACGTTTGGTAAACACAAGGATTGGTAGCATATTTAATGGATAGAATATTTAGTGTTTTATTTGCTGTCCATGTTTTATTGATTGCGGAATTTTCGTACAAATATATGGACTTTTTCAAGCTATCTACAGAGCTTGAGGCTGTAGCACATGTTATGTCACGGGCGCATCTATCGATAATGAGTATGGAGCAAATTTGTGTTACACCCGAGGATCTTGTAAGCGTCAGCTTCGTTTTAACTGCTACAGATGAACTGGAATAGGCATGAAAATTCCAGGAAAGAGAGTTCAGTTCGTTGACCCAATCTCCTGTTTCTCTAGATGGTGACGATGCAGAGAGTGATTTGTTATGGCGAAAAAAACGGATGAAAGTGAAGCAGCGCTTGGCTGCTAGGTAAAGAGAGTAATTTAACGTTGAGTGGTTATCAGTTATGTTTTCTTAAGGAACAAAAAAATTGCTAATGTCGAGCAGACACTTCACAGTTCAAATACTTTCCATGCAAAATATCTTTGTGAATTGGCCAACATAGTGTCAAAGCTCCAGCAGAAACAAAATAGACTGGAAGACTCAGTACTTCAATCGTTTGAACGCGTTTTGAGTGATGCATATCGAGAAACAGACTGTCAGGTACACTTTGGCGTTTTTATCAACTTCGTGTATGTGTGACTTTTCAATTAAAGTAGTAAAAATACCATAAAGATGCCAATGTTGAATGTTTTATTGTTGTTTGGTATAATTCATACGATGTAAATAATGTACTAAAATTTGAAGAAAATTATTATAGCGAATATAAGAGAAGCGATGTGCTGATATACGAACAGGTATGTCGTGAGGGCGCGTGTGGCGCAGTGATCGGAAGAGCCCTGCAATACAAATGGGATCGATTCTCGCGCCCCTGGCCTACCAGACCCTTTATCTCTTCGGGGTCGGCAAATTGGTATCAAGCTCGTTTGTGAGGGTAGCAGCACTGGCTCGATACATATGTAGACTACCGCGAGTCTTTGTAAAGACTAGATATGCATTCGGTCATCGCCAACGAAGCTTATTGAAGTCGAATGCATGGCGCATTCCTCATAGATTGATCAACGCAAAGAGCTTTATCCTTTTTTACTTATTTATTTCGTGAAATGCAGAAATACAGTTGGAGTTTTTACATTAAGGATCATAGGAATCACTCGTCGATCCTAATGTTGAAGATGTGAGAACTAGACGTAATGGGTTCTTGTTTCAGGGATGGTCTTCAGCGAATTTCCTGCAGTCATTGTCGAATCCGTCATTGCTCGTGGATCTGCTTTCTGTACTAATGAAATGGACTAGTTCTGGTGCGACTGTCAGGTAAAATTCAGCTGTTGGTTTACGTTATTAGTTTTATGTGGTCAATATTGTAGGTTGTTACTAAAATTGTCAGCAGTGATATGCCGACTTTGCTGCTCTCCTATTTTTTGTCGTGCTTTGATATTTTCACCGCGACTGGTTGAGCTCATGGACTGGATTATTGTTCTATTAAAGGCCAGGAAATTTCTGTTTGACTTTCATAAAACAGTGACTGTAGCTCGAGTTTTATACTTTGTACTATAATTCTAGCTGCATTATTTCTTTCCAAGGATTCTGCATGACAGTGGTTGAATTGTGCTTGTAAAGAGACTGTTTAACATACGTTGATAAAAAGGGAAGCCATCGAAATATTTAGTATAAATATGGGAACTAGTGGTAATAGAAAGTTCCGCGATTTCTTAAATTCGACAATTCTCTAGTAATGGAAAATGTAGTGCTCTTATCCATCGTTTCAGAAGTATTGTTTGAAAGAGTTCCGCCGAAAGCTAAACGTGTATATTCATTTATGTGGTCCCGAAACCAATCCCGCTGACGAGTTATTGTTGATGACAGCGTTAGGTAGAAAACTAGTTGAAAAAAAAACGCCGAGCAAGGGCCTGCGTGGTGCGGTGTATAATGCGCGAGCTTTAGGAGAGGGTAATCGTAGTTCGATCTGGCCCGGGGTCCAAGTTTTGCAAATATCTCAGCATCGTTGTAGTTATATTTATTTGTTTATTTGTTTACCATGTATGTATTGTTATAACAAACTTATTTTAGAGTTTTTTTAGAACATTTTAGAGCCTCTTTTAGAAACCTGAACAAGACGCCCAGCTGCTGTGTCTGTTGGATGTTTTGTGTGCAAGTATTCGTTGCGCTAGAAATGCGGTTCTATGGAAAATACTTGGTGTAAATGCGCACGAATTGGAAATTCGTATAAGCATGATTGCGAGGTGCTGATATCAAAAGTACTCACATGTCTGGAATATGTGGAATTTTGCTTATAGCTACTTGCTGTCATGTCGTCTGCCTCATGTGCTTGAAGCAATAGTGGTGCCATCCATTTCCTCTACGCTTTTTACGAAACTCGGTTCACTTCACAATGAGTTTGCTGACATATCAAGTGAAGACACGTAAGCAGTTATTTGCGACCGTAGTCTGATTTTGTATACATGTGTGAACTGTTTTCAGTAGTACTCTCGCCGTTGCATATTGTTCGCTACTGCTGAGGGTTTCTATATGCGTCCTTCGCTCGCATTCCTCTAGCACAGAACTGACAAATTTAGAACATAGCAACGGTGAGGTTTCCGCGCGTTTCCTCGAGGCATCTATTCAAATGTGTTCTCATTTGAGCAGTGACTCTCGGTCCTGGAAGGTGGGCTTGTGAATTAATAACTCTTCATAATTAACTACTACCTTGTTTTCTTTCTTACAGTTTCTTATGGAGGATCCCGGAAAAAGTATGCGTATATTACTTGTGGTTGGCTGTATAATTCGTCGTGTTGACAAGGAGTCTGGTGCTACATGGTTTGCATCAACGGCTCTGAAACTGATTGCTCAATACGCTGCATTTGATTCATACCATCAAGTAGGTGGTAATTGGGTAGTTTTTTTACGCTTAACCCTTTCATCCCTATCCTTAATGAATGTTTTGATCATCATATGTTGAAACTTGGATTTTGTTAATCATAATTTTACATTAATTTCCTGTTTCTTCTCTTATCGATAAAGATCTTATACAATGTACAGTTCTTTTTACTAAAGACTTTCATGTTGTGAAGCTGGCCCTTTTTTCAGTTGTTATGTATTCTTGGGGGGCAGCGCTCAATTCTTTCTGCAGTGGCAACACTTCCAGTGTACTTCTTGACTAGGGCGTCACTGAGAGTTTTATTTCTGCCAGCTCTCATTACAATGACTTACGACTGCGGTTTAGCAACTCAGCTTCTCTTGGAAGAGTTGAGCGAAAAGCACTTAATCAAATTTATTACTGTAAGTTGAGAAGGCCTTAATATATTTCTAACATTACCTGAAGTAATTGTTTTTGAATTATCTTAGGAAGCACAAGAGGGGAAATCGTCGAACATTGATGTGCTCCAAACGCTTATGCCGCAACATGCGGTGGAGTCCCTTTTAAAGTATTATGGAACATTACACCTGTGATTTTGTCTTAGCTGCTTACTGTGTTAGTGATTTCCCTGGCCTTCTACATTTCACTATATTTCTCTAGTCAGTGCTTTGTTTTAGATTAGCTCGCACTGTTTTGTTCTAGATATAATAGATCGTGTTGAAAGGTTTTATTTCGCTTCCTGTTGTTGGTTACGGTGTATGAAATCGGTTAAGAGTAGTTTAGAATAAATCTTGCGATTTGGTTGTATTACTTCACTGTTCTGAGTATTTGATCACATCATTATCTGGTGTTATTTCTTTTTATAAGTGGCTTTCTCTGATAGAGCAACTATTTCGCTGTTCTATTACTGATTCTTAGGAGAAGATAGGTCGATAAATCTTGTTCTAGATTTATTTGAGTTAATTTTCAGTTTATTACTTAGATAGCTATCATTAGTGGCCATCCATGACAATATGATCGACATGACAATCTGGTTAAGAGGTATGTGCTGGTTAGAAAAAAGAAGGGTTGTAGCAAAAAAATGTAGCGTTCATTCTCCAGATAAATCTCTACCAACGTATCAACATAGTGCGAGTTTGCTTGCTACGCCAGAGTAAAGTTATGGGTGTGTAGAATCAGTGAACCCCAATTTTTCGAATGTTATCGTTGAGAGCGGGTGGGTTAAAACCATCAGTTATCTCTCATCTCAAAATTGACTTACCAACATGTCCCGTCCTGTACTTACTTATCAAAACCCATAAGTTAGTACCCAGCGATGATCTCGTGTCTACCGATCCATCGTTATTTAAGGTTAGACCTATCATTAGCTGCGTGGACGAGCCAATGGATAGTATGGCGTGGTTAATAAACCTAATACTTACTCAGTTGTTGAAGTACATTCCAGCTCATCTAACGAGCACCCAAATGTTCCTGGATCGTCTACGTAACGCGCGACCCAACAGCGCGTACATGGTGGAGTCCTTCGACGTCATTGTCCTCTATACGAACGTGTCGAATGACTCCGATATGCAAGCCATAAACGAGCTCCTTATACAACACGAAGGAGCAATAAACATGTACGGCTTCTCGATTCAG